CTCATATGGTTAAGGGCTTGCAGGCCAAGCCCTATGAGGAGAGACTAAGGCACCTGGACCTCTTCAGCCTCCGGAAGAGAAGGTTGAGAGGAGACCTTGTGGCTGCCTATAAATTCATCATGGGGGCACAGAAGGGAATTGGTGAGGCTCTGCTCACCAAGGCATCCCTGAGGGTCACAAGAAATAATGGCTCTAAACTAGCAGAGAGCAGATTTAGACTGGACATTAGGAGGAACTTCTGCACAGTTAGAGTGGCCAAAATCTGGAATGGGGTTTCAAGGGAGGTGGTGCTCTCCTCTACGCTGGAGGTCTTCAAGAGGAGGTTGGATGAGCATCTGGTCGGGGTCATCTGAACCCAGCACTCTTTCCTGTCTAAGCAGGGGGTCGGACTCGATGATCTATGGAGTTCCCTTCCGACCCTAACATCTATGAATCTATGTGTATATATGGGGCTATTTGTTGAGAACTTGTATAAATACAGTCTAGAGTAAACATCTATAATGCCTGCAAACACTGCTCATCTAGAAGTGTCCTAACTCAATTCATTCTCACCTCTGTGTAGAATTCCCTTTTTACTTTCTTACCTAGTGCCAGATGAAGTCTCCATCTCTTTTTTATTATCGTTTTTATGTGATGTCTATATTTATTTTAAATTGTTGTAAAGCATCTTGTTGGGAGAGTAGTGTTAACTTTATAGATAAAAATGACTGAGAATTTTGAAACCATTTTTTTTTAAAAGCATTCACTTAATTTTTTTTCCAGTGTCCATATTTTATACATAAGGAAACTTAGGTACAAAGGACCACATACATGGTTACCCTGATGCCACTTCATACTAGCTATTCCTGCTAACACTCCCTCCCCACAAAAATAACAACAAAGAACCTAACTGGGTACATCTACATGTTCATTAATGGGCTGTAGTTACTGTGCATTAAGTTTAGTACTTGGATAATCAAATACTAGATCAATGTGCAGTAACTGGTGCTACTGCACAGTAGTGCTAGCGCACAGGTTTTTACAGATGCTAACTGCACAGTAGCCTAATACTACTATGCAGTAGCCTATTAACATGGTTTTTTCCCAGCACACTACTACAGTGTTAATAGGCTACTACACAGTTAGCATCTTGTGTAGACACACCCACTATAAAGCTGACTCTTCAATTTCCATACACCTACAGGACTTTCTGGTACATGAACTTTAGTGCAAGTTTATGAATTGGATTATATGATGTAGCTGCCTGTAATATCACAGCATGGAACTCAGTGATAAAGGATGTCACTTATAGTCTTATGAGAACCATTTTAGAGTTGAAGTCACTGTGTCTTGAATGGCTGGTTCAGTGTCCTATCAGTTGCTGATGTGTTGGAAAGCCTATAAATGGGTTGTGAAACTGGACACCAATTAAAATGAAGATTAAACAGTCCCTGGAACCACTTGGTGGGTAGGAGAAGAGCAGAAGACATTTTTATCTTTTTTCTCTGCATAGGGATTCATTTCAGTTACTGGGAACTTAAGTTTACCTGCAGAAGGTCAAATGTGAAATAGGAGTTAGAAGCTTGTAGCTGCTAGGCCTATCATCAGTCCACTAGTAAATATTATCCCTGATGGAACAAATGTCTCCTAAGGACCTGGAGTTAATTTTATTTTTAATGAAACTTTTAATGAACCAATATCTTTAGAAAAAAAAATCCCTCATCTAGGATGGAGTCATGCCACTAACCATGATCAAGTCTTTCTTCTTCCTCATTTGGAACATGGACTTGAACTGTGGTTTCCACATCCCAGATCCCCATATTGCCTAACTTCCACATCCTAGATCCCCTAACCCAGAATATTTGGGCATTCTGGCTACATTCACATGTGCTCTCTCTCTGTCACAATTTAAAAAAAAATGTAAGATAATATGTTTTGGCCTGCCCAAATGCATAGCTTTACAAATGAGAAGCCAAAAGGATTTCCAACCTACAATTTCAGCCTTTTCCTATGTGCTTAATATAACTCTAGAGCTTGATTGAGGCTTTGTACTTACATTTGGGGAAGTTACAGGGAGGTTAGATTTCATTACAAATAGCCACATGATCTACCTTAGTTCACTCGGGTGTAAACTTTACACTAGTTAGATGGATCTAGTTAGGTGTGAACTGTAAAGAAGATCAGAAAAGTTATATCAGTCTAAAAATGGTTGACCTGATCTAAGCTAAATGAATCTTTGAGATAGTCTAACTTAGCTTGGGTCAGGCAAGACCAATCTAACTGAACTTCTGTACAGTTCCCAGTGCAGCCCCAGGGCTGGGAAAGCCCATCTACTGGCTTCAGCCCTAGAGCTGTGCTTTTCCTACTCCCTCGCTGGTACTGGGCTATTTTCAGTGCCCCCCCACCCCCGATGGACAACCCACCCATGGACCAGCCATCCCCCACCTCCACCCCACCAAC